GGGGGGGTGGGGGATGGAGTGGCATCATAAAGGCCTGGATCTTGCTCAGGGCCGGTTTGTCCCCCCTGCTCTTGCTGACGAGATGGGAAGCAGTGGTTCGGACCCTTTGGGATCGGGCCCGTTAGCAGGGCAGGGCTGATGAGCCCTGTGCATCCAGAGAGGTGAAGGAGGCCTGTGCCTGCCTTCCAGTGGAGCGGAAACGGAAGTTCGGGAGAAGTGAAGGATAGAGGGAGGGGAGAAAATCAGTGCTGGCCGATCACGTGCGGCTGATCACGTGCTATGTAGAGACCCTTCCACACAACATCGCTTTTCATTCTTATAACAATGCTTTGGAAACAAATATCGAGGTTCCCCGTTTCCAAATGAGGACATTTGGACATGAAGATGTGAGACTCAAAGAAATAAAGTGACTGCCCCAGGTCCCGGTGAGGCAGCATTTCACCCACGCCTCCGGCTCTCAGCCCAGGGGCCGTCCTGAGACCTGCCTCCAGAGCAGTGGGGCTGCTCTCGGCTCGGCTCAGGCAGCGGTGCCAGGGCTCTGGGAAGGGGCTGCGGGTCAGAGCCTCCCCACACGGGTCAGGGGCTCAGAGGCCAGTTTCTTGCCTCAGGAAGATGCAGCTGGAGAAGGAACTGGCCTCAGAGCTGTGGCGGGTGCGTTGGGAGGACTTGCAGCCCAGCAGCCTGGAGAGGCACCTCCGGAGTGCGGGCAGCCGGCTGACCTTGAGTGGGGTGAGAACGCTGGTATTGGGGGGGACTTGAGGGACAGCTGGGTATGGGGTGGGGGGAGGGCAGTGCCTGAGGGGTCAGGGAGAGAGCAGGGTTCTAACCCCAGCTGTCTTCACTGTGTGACCTTGGGCAGGTCACGGCCCCTCTCTGAGACTCTCAGATAATGGTTACATCTAAGAGCCTCCTGTAGAGGCTTCTTCAAAGTTTGGAGATAGTATATGTGACAATACATTAAAGGGAAAAAGCAAGTGAGGGGAGGGTGTCATGATGTGGAAGGAGGCAGTGAAGACCAAGCTCAAGCCATTAGCAGGGAGAGCGGGGCCCATGGTGGGGCCCATGGGCTGACCGTCCCTCCTGCTCTCCCTCCCTGCAGAGAGGCTCCAATTACGGCTCCCTCCTCACCACAGAGGGCCAGTTCCAGGTCTTTGCCAAGACGGCGTATTATAAGGTGGGCCTGGGGCCTGGGGCAGGCTGTTCTGCCAGGACAGGGAGGGCCGGGAGGCATGGTGGGCTGTGAGGAGCAGCTGCAGGTGCCAGGGCATTTGGGAACTCCCATCTCCTCACAGTGACTGTCTCCATTCCTTGCCCAGGGCAATCTCGTGGCTGTGAAAAGTGTGAACCGCAAACGCATTGAGCTGACAAGAAAAGTCCTGTTTGAGCTGAAGCATGTAATGTAGGGGAGTGAGGCAGTGGCTAGGGGAGCATCCCAGGGGGACAGGGGAGGTTGGCCAACAGCACTACTTATGGATGGATCTCAGGGTTGTCTGTAGCCCTGGGTCGGGCCCTTGCATGTTGGCATGGGAGGAGGGCGTCATGGATGGGGAAAGGACACCTGGACATGTCCTGGAGGAAGGTCCTCGAGGGGCCATACTTGATGGCCTGGGCGGGTGGAGGGCTTGGGAGGCAGAGGGAGTAGGGAGCAGATTTGGAGGGATGGTGGGCCACAGACCATGGTGGGAATCACCAGGGAAGGTCCTAGAATGTCTGGAGAATGAATACAGAGTTAAGAAGAGTGAGTGGTCCTTGAGGGTGGGGGACAGCTTGAGGAGTGAGGTCTCTGACAGGCTCCTGATGCTGGCTCCCACCTGCAGATGCGGGATATACAGAACGACCACCTGACCAGGTTTGTGGGTGCCTGCACCGATCCCCCCAACATCTGTATCCTCACTGAGTACTGCCCCCGTGGAAGCTTGCAGGTGAGGGGACCCAGGGGAGTCAGGAAACCTGGGTCTAGCCCTGGCTCTAGCCCCAGGCAGGCCCCTCTCTCTTTCTGACCTTTATTTGCCCCATCTGTAAAATGGGAGAGGGGGGGGGGCTGTGGCACTAAAGTAAATACAAAGTTTTGTCCTGTTCTGCCACTTGACGGCAGTAGGGCCCCTGCACTCCTCTTAGGGGGAGTCTGCAGGGCACAGGGCTGACTCTCGCTGCCTAGTAGGACATTCTGGAAAATGAGAGCATCACCCTGGACTGGATGTTCCGGTACTCGCTCACCAATGACATCGTCAAGGTAGGTCCAGGAGAGCCCGTTGGACGTGGGGGAGGCGTGCTTCTCTGGCTGTGGTTGTAAGTCCCACTCCTACCCCAGAACCCTGCCTCCACGTTCTCCAGGGCATGCAGTTCCTGCACAGTGGGGCCATTTGCTCCCACGGGAACCTCAAGTCGTCCAACTGTGTGGTAGACGGTCGATTTGTGCTCAAGATCACTGACTATGGGCTCGAGAGCTTCAGGGACCCAGAGCCTGACCAAGGACACACCCTCTACGCCAGTGAGCTCAGACCCCCGCTGTCCCCAGTCCTGACTGAAGGCCAGCCCGGCAGGGAGGCTGTGCCTGGTCTCTGATGGGCCTGAGCACGCACGCCTCTCCTGACGCTTGCTCAGCTCATTCACCAGTAGAACGAGGAGTCCGACGAAGTGGTCTCCAGGCCTCGTCTAGCTCTAGCACTCGTTTGGTGTCTCCAGATCAGTCCCAGACCAACCTTCGGCTCTAGCCTTGTTTCCCTTTAGCTTTGGGCCCTTCACCCTGTGACCCCTGATCTCTGACCCGCAGAAAAGCTGTGGACAGCCCCCGAGCTCCTGCGAATGGCCTCACCCCCCGTCCGGGGCTCCCAAGCCGGTGACATCTACAGCTTTGGGATCATCCTTCAGGAGATTGCCCTGAGAAGTGGCGTATTCCACGTGGAAGGTTTGGACCTCAGCCCCAAAGGTAAGAGGACATGCCGTCCCCTAGCCCTGCCTCAGTCTCAACTTACCTCAGCCCCAGAGAGAGACGCCGGGAAATGCCACCACATCTTCCTCCTGCAAAGCCCAGCCACCACCCGTTGCTCCATTGTTGCCAGTGACCCTGAGGCATGACTGCCCCAAGCCCGGGTCCTGGCCTTCCCCACCCCATCTCTCAGCAGGCCCTTGGCTGGCCCCGCCACTGAGCCCCTTCCTCCCACCACACAGAGATCATCGAGCGGGTGACTCGGGGCGAGCAGCCCCCGTTCCGGCCCTCCCTGGACCTGCAGAGTCACCTGGAGGAACTGGGGCACCTGATGCAGAGGTGCTGGGCTGAAGACCCGCAGGAGCGGCCGCCCTTCCAGCAGATCCGCACGATGCTGAGAAAGTTTAACAGGTCGCTGGCCTTAGGCATGGAGCACCCCCAGCCTCCCCTGTCTGCCCCCCCCAACGATATACCCCCACTTAAGTCTCAACCTCGCCTGGTTCACTTCGAGCATCGTCCCAATATGCCAAGGTTGAGGGTTCGAACACCCAGTCCGGGGTGCATTGACGGAATCGGCCAATGAACGTATAAATAAGTGTAACAACAAATTCTCTCTCTTTAAAATAACAAAGTCTCATCCCTGCAGTAGCTACTGCAGCACCACAGCCTCACAGCCCCCCGTGTGAATACCGAATGACCCAGATGTCCCCACAGCTCCCCACCTCTCATCCCCTCTCCTCCCACAACACAGCCACCCCACACCCCTCCTGCCCAGCCCCCAGAGCCCCTAGTCTTCCCTGGTGTGCAGAGTACAGGGGGCCCCTCCCCTGCATGGGAGCTCCGGCCCCACCCTGTGAACTCCTTTGCCCAGGGCGCCACCCTGGGGCCCAGTGCCTCCAGATGCACCTCGGCGCCTGTGTGCCCTCCTGCTGCATTCTCAGTCAATCCGAGTCCCTTCCCACCTCCTCTGCCGCCTTCTAACTCACTGTTCCAACAAAATAGCTGTGCCTGAAGCTTCATACTTGACCCTGGCATCTCAAAGATGCCCCGGTTCCTCCTACCCTTTCCCCCTGCCATCCCATCCTGCGGCGCCCCTCGCCCCCAGCCTTCTCCAGCGTCCCCACTGCCCTTGGGAGGTGGGTTGGGAGCCTGGGTCCGGTGGAGGCCTGGGGTGGGCACTCTGTCACCCCTGCCTGCTGCTCCCCGCCCTCAGAGAGAACAGCAGCAACATCCTGGACAACCTGCTGTCCCGCATGGAGCAGTACGCCAACAACCTGGAGGAGCTGGTGGAGGAGCGGACCCAGGCCTACCTGGAGGAGAAGCGGAAGGCCGAGGCCCTGCTCTACCAGATCCTGCCTCAGTGAGTGCCCGAGTCCGGCGCCGTGCCCTGCCAGCCCCGTGCCAGCCCCACCTCACCCTCTGATCCCTGACCCCTCAGCTCAGTGGCTGAGCAGCTGAAGCGCGGCGAGACCGTCGAGGCCGAAGCCTTTGACAGCGTGACTATCTACTTCAGTGACATTGTGGGTTTCACAGCCCTGTCCGCCGAGAGCACGCCCATGCAGGTGAGTCAGGGCGCGGCCACACGTGAAGACCAGGCAGGTGTGCTTGGTCCACCATCGCCATCCCGTAGGCCTGCCTTCGGGTTCCCACCCAAGCCCAGGTGGAGCCCCTACTCTTCCCTTCCAGGTGGTGACCCTGCTCAATGACCTGTACACTTGCTTCGATGCCGTCATAGACAACTTCGATGTGTACAAGGTGAGAGTGAGTGTGGATGGGGAGGGACAGGCAGACTCCGGGGCAGAGTCAGACAGAGGTGACGGGAAGGAGGAAATAGAATCTTTGAGAGGAGACCAAGGTACATGGGGAGAGACAGTATCTATCACAAGGAGACCCAGGGGCAGGCAGAGAAACCCCGCGGGGAGGGGGATGGAGGGATGGGGGATGAGGAAAGCCGACGCCTGGCCCGGCAGGTGGGAGCTCAGAATGATGGTACACGAGGGGTTGGGGGCGGCCCAGGGAAGGGAACGTTCCAGCCTTCAGGTCCTGCTCCCTCTCGCGCCCTCGCAGGTGGAGACGATCGGCGACGCCTACATGGTGGTGTCGGGGCTCCCGGTGCGGAATGGGCGGCTGCACGCCTGCGAGGTGGCCCGCATGGCCCTGGCGCTGCTGGACGCCGTGCGCTCCTTCCACATCCGCCACCGGCCCCAGGAGCAGCTGCGCTTGCGCATCGGCATCCACACAGGTGAGGCCACCAAGGCGCGGGGAGGGGGCTTCCGAAGGCTGAGCTGCGGGAATGAGGCTCGTTCCTCTGGCCTCAGATGCGCCTCCAGCCTCTCCCGGAGCGCCCTAGCTCCGCCCTGTGGCCGCCCTCCATCCTCCTCCCTCCCTCCCTCCATCCTCTTCCCTCCCTCCCTCTCCCTCCCCCCTCCGGCCCCCTCGCTGACGGGCTTCCTCCCTCCAGGACCCGTGTGTGCTGGTGTGGTGGGGTTGAAGATGCCCCGTTACTGTCTCTTTGGGGACACAGTCAACACGGCCTCAAGAATGGAGTCTAACGGGGAAGGTATGTTGCCCCCCCCCCAAAGGGGATGGGAGGGCAGGGTAGCTGGAGCCCAGGAAAGTCCCCTGGACCGGCTTGTGCCTGTCCTATCCCTGCCCCAGCTCCTAGCCCTCTCTCCTCCCAGCCTCCTGCTCCTAAGAGTTCAACCTGGGCAGATCACCTTGCATCTAATCAGGGACTCAGATCCTAGCTGCCCTGCCTTTCCAAATGTTTGGAAAGTCTTTCCAGGCCATTGCTCACCAGTTCCCAGCAGGACTCCCGCCTTTAGAAACCCTCTGCTCCCCGTGGGCGTGGTCAGGAAGGCTCAGAGCTGCCCACCGGGGTGTGGAGCTCCGCTCTACAACTAACCCAGCTGGGTCTGGGTTTGCTACACCATTGTGAGTCTCCGTGTTCCTTGTCTGTAAAAATGAGAATAAATGCCTGCCTCACTAGAGTTATGTGAGGAAGCCGTAGTACGTGCGGAGCACATAACCGTCATTCAACTTTTCCGAGCCTTGGCTGTTTATCTGTAAAAAACGATGCCTGTCTCCGGTTGTAGAAAACCTAGCACAGCCCTGACACACAGTAGGTACCTAATAAACGCTCGCTCCCACCGCTTCCTTTGGCCCTGCTTCCTGTTGATCTTCGGCCTTCCTGCTGTATTCAACACAGTTTAACCAAGTGAACATTTATGGAGCAACTTGTGAGAGCCGGGCCCTGGGATACGAAGACCCAGACCCACAGTTGGCTGGAGTCCGTGTGGACCCCATCCAAGCCTCATGGCGGGAGAAGGGCGACTTGGGGCCAAGTGGGGCTCTGGTCCAGCAGATGTTCCCTGGGCACGGCGCTTGGGGCTGTCCAGGGAGGAGAGAGCCTCTCTCTGAGATCCAGTCCTCAAGGAGCACATCCTCAGAAATGGTTAAGCAGCAAAACAAGGCCACTGTGATGCAGACCCCAGGGGTGGTGGAGCGAGTTCAGAGGGAGATCGATAGAGAAAGGGTGTGGCGATACCCGGTCAGTAGTCAGGAGGCCGAGGTCTGACCGCAGCAGCCTGGGAAGATCTCTAAGCCTCAGTGACCCCAGCTGGAAAACGAGGGTGGTGAGGTAGATAACCGACAGCAGTCACTGATCGAGCGCTTCCCATGTGCCAGATTCTGTCCCCTTTTTGAAGGTTAAATTTAATCCTCACAGCAGGGCTTTGAGATGGGCACTGTCCCTGTCAGCACGGATTAGGAGAATGAAGCCCAGAGAGTTGGTATGACTTCCCCAAGCAAGCACTCACTCCGGCACTCACTCCGGCCTTCAGACTAGGCAGAGCGGGATCCAAAGTGTGAGGTCCTGACCACTGTGCTAGACTGTCTAGAGCAGTGATGGCGAACCTTTTGAGCTCGGCGTGTCAGCATTTTGAAAAACCCTAACTTAACTCTGGTGCTGTGTCACATATAGAAATTTTTTGATATTTGCAACCATAGTAAAACGAAGATTTATATTTTTGATATTTATTTTATATATTTAAATGCCATTTAACAAAGAAAAATCAACCCAAAAAATGAGTTCGCGTGTCACCTCTGACACGGGTGTCATAGGTTCCCCATCACTGGTCTAGAGCCTGGTGATGCGCGAGGGTGCTGTCCAATAGAACTTGCTGCAGTGATGAAAATGTTCTCTAGTCTGAGCTGTCGGACATGGGAGCCTTTGTCACAGGGGCTCTTGATCACTTGAAATGTGGTCTTGCACCTGAGGCATTGAATTTGTAACTGTATTGAGTTTTAATTAATTTAAGTGTAAAGGATGGATAGATCACACAGCTCTCAGGTGCCAGCAGAGGCCAGTGTGGTCAGACACCCCATGGAGAGGGTGGGACTCAGAAGAGGAGAGCATCTTTCTACCCCCACAGTCCTTGATTTCCCCCGGTCCCTTCTCTTGCATCCCTCACCTTCCCTTCTTCTCCTTATCCTCCTCAGCCCTGAAGATCCACCTGTCCTCGGAGACCAAGGCTGTCCTGGAGGAGTTCGGTGGTTTCGAGCTGGAGCTTCGAGGGGATGTAGAGATGAAGGTAGAGAAGGAAGCCCCTATCCTCACCATCCCTTGGGGTCCCAGAGGGGGCTGCCCTCCCTCAAGCCCCTTCCCAAGCAGCCACTTCCACTCCCATCATTTGGCAAATGGGCTTGCCACTCCCCATCCCAACCCCCTCTTCTATTTCCCTCCAGGGCAAAGGCAAAGTTCGGACCTACTGGCTGCTGGGGGAGCGGGGGAACAGCACCCGAGGCTGACCCGCCTTTCCTCCTGGCCTCCCACACCTCCCTTCCCGGCGCCAGAAGTGACAGCGAGGGTCCAGGCCTCACCCTCACCCACCGCAGCCCCACTGTTGCCAGAGGATCCAGAGAAGTGGTTTGAACAACTCAGGTGTGCTCACTCCAGTGGCGACCCCACATACCACCTCTGAAAGAGGACCGGTGTCGGGGGAGAGAACTCGGTGTCGGGGGAGAGAACTCGGAGCTTACAGAACCAGAACAAAGCCCACACCCGTTATCCACCCCCACTCAGGCCACGCTGGGGTGTGGGTTCCTGGATCCTCCTGCCCCTCCTGTGCCCTCCTCCCTCCGCCTTGCTACACTGTGACTTTTATGGGGAAGGGGAAGAGCCATCTTAGGGGCAATAGCAAAGGTTTTAGAAGTGAATCTGGGGTGGGGGGAGTCCACAACTGCCACAAACACCCCCTATCTCCCACCACCCACCACTGGATACAGTGTGCAGCGGAGAGGCAAGGTATGGAGGGGCCGACGGCCTGTATGCCTTGCTTCTCAACTGGGAGTGGAGACCATTAAAATCGTTATCCTAGTGACAGTGTCTCTTCTTGAGGGAGAGAGGGTTGCCGGAAAACACAGCCACGTCCTCCACCCTCTGTCAGATGAGACATGCTTCTCGAGCTGGGAACAGCCTGCGCATTGCCCAGGCAGGGCATGCATCACTCTTGATCCCAGGAACCCTTTCCACCCTAAGAGTTACTGAGCTTTTGTTTCTGTGGGCTTATCTACTGATATCTACTGTACTATAAATGAAAACAAGCCCTATTAACTCATTTAAAATAACTATAATAAACCCACCACATGTTAGTAACTTTTTCCTGCTTTATCAAGCACGTTCTTAGAGAAACTGGCAGCCCTGGCCGGTGTTTCTCAGTGGTTAGAGCATCAGCCCAGGCACCGAAGGGTCGAGGTCCCTGTCGAGGGCATGTTTCCTCAGGTGAGGAGTAACAAAAAAGAAGAGCGAGAGGGAGAAACTGTTTTTTAACTGGCAATAGGTGAAAATGAAGATTTCAATGACTAGTTTGGTGCTACTGCCTTATTTATGCTAAGATACCAGCAGTTTCTCTCTCTCTCTCTCTCTCTCTCTCTCTCTCTCTCTCTCTCTCACACACACACATACACACAAACACACACACACACACACACACGTTGCTTTTTCACACTCAGCGCAAATAACACAGTCCATAAGGCAAATCATGTACTAGTAGGAGCATGAAAATCAGAAGCAGGAAAAGGAGTGAGGACTGGATGGAGAGTCTCGCATCTTTTGCCCCAGGAGGCCTGGGAGCACAGAAAAAGGGATGGGGGTGGGAACATATGGATCCCTCTTTAATTCCATTGAGATTTCGGGGTTGTCCGCACGTCCCTCCATTCCCATGCCAGTGTAGACAACTGTGAGTGATAGTTTGCAAAATGACTCTCCGCTGGGCTAAGGGCCCTCCTTGTCCCAGCTCCAGCAGCTCACCCCACCCCCTTCCTGAGAGGCAGGCAGGCAGGAATGCAGATGAGGGGGGGAGAGGTGGCTACAGCTTCACCTCCCCCAAGGGGAAAGAAAGTGCCAGACATTTCTTCAGTACCATCCATCAAGTGCAGACAGGCCCTTCCTCCCACCTCCCCTCCCCAAGCCTCTTCCTGGAGTCCACACCCAGGGGGACCTGGAAGTAGGGGTGGGCAGCTTGGAGGTCTGCCTTCAGGGCAGTGCTCCCCGATACGCAAGTGGTGGTCTGGGATGTGACCTTGTCCCGTGACCTTAATGTTCTGTGCTCCCCACCCACCCTTTTGGGCTTCAGTCAGCTTTGATTTATTGGGAGAGGCAGCTTGCATGGTCAAGTCCTCACCCTCTGCTGGAAGGCCTAACAGAAGGATGGTTGCCCTGGTAACCACGGCATACTCAACTTCCTAGTGGGCCCTGGTGACCATCTTGACTCTCCGGCCCCAGTTGCCCCTCCCAAGGGTAGTAGACAACCCCAGAGCAGAGTGGATCTGCCAAGGAGAACTAGGGCCTGAGACGTTGGGCATGGGGGCTGGGTATCTAAAGAGACTGGGCTTTGGGGAGGGGAGCGGGGAGCCCAAAGACTGAGGAACTCCGGGAAGACAATTCTAGGAAATTGCCCGTCAGATCCTTCCGGGGCAGCCTGGCTCTGCTGCTGACGCTGGAGGGAGGGCGCTGGGTGGGCGTCGGGAGAGGCCCTGGGAGTGGATGACTTCTGCCGCTCGAGAACTTTCACTGCGACGAGAAGATTTCCTTCCGGAGGAAGGCCCCTGAAGCCAGGAAGAGCTGGGAAAGCCATTACCGAGAGGTGGGGGGTCCGACTTAGATAGCGTCTCTCCTCCAAGTCCGGGAGGCAGATCTGTGCCAGGAACCGCCGCCCGCAGGGGAGGGGCAGTCTGGCCTGGCAGTTTCCCCGCTGGCCCGCAGAGGAGGGCTGGGAGGGCCGAGTGGGCAACAGGGTTTCCCTGGAGTACAATAAGAATAACAACAGTAATCCTTGGCATTCAATTGTGCCTTGGTGTTGACAAAGGCTTTCACATACGTTAGCTCATCTGTCCACGTGACACCCTGGGGAGGGGGGGCTGCGCAGGCCCTGCAGCTGGGGGTAGGAGGGCCCAGCTGAAGTCCAGCTGTGGGTAGGAGGGCCCACGGTAGACTGTGTGCAAAGGGAACCCTAGCCCAACCAGCTCTGCACCAGACCAGGGCCTGGAAAAAAGTAGAGTTGACAAGACAAATACCCTCTTCCCCACCCCCTCCTTCTCTATGTCCAAGAGCAGTACATTAAGTAATAATTTTTTAAACTTTTTAAAAATGTGTTTTTTATTCATTTGAGAACAAGAGGAAGGGAGACATGGGAGAGCAATATTGATGTGAAAGAGAAACATTGATCAGTTGCCTCTTGTAGGCACCGGGACTGACCATCCAACCTGAGTCTTGGGCATGTGCCCTGACCAGGAATCAAACTGGCTGGCGACCTTTTGCAGCAAGGGATGATGCTCAACCAACGGAGCCACTCCAGCCAGGGCAAGTAATACTTTAAAAATATATATGTTTATTAAAAAAATGATTTCTACCTTTCTGGACAGATCCGTGGAATCTAATTAGCAGCAGAGGCCAGTTTTGCAGCCTGAAAGTCATTTTTAATTAAATTGCAGGAGCTGTAAAAATATAAAAACAAATAAATTAACCATAAAAAATACCTAATGCTGTCCAGGAAGACTTAATCTCATTGAGTTGGAAGGCAAGCAGGGTTACAGGCGAGGTGTTTACCACCAAGATGAAGGAGTTAGGATGCTGATGAATTTGGTGATGCATCAAGCAGAGGCAAAGATGCTGAGGAGGAGGAGACCAAGGAAGACAAGAGGCGGTGGGCAGGAACCCGTTTGACTGTAGTGCTAATCCCAGGTTTAGTGAGGGGGTCCAGGTAGGAAAAATCCCACCCACTCAGTTCCCTATCACATGCATTGCATCATTGAGTGAGTGGCTGGGCTGGTTGTCCTTTAAGAACCTTTCCATCGCAAAGATTCCATAATCAAGTACATCTGTTAATCACTTGAACTTGATGCAACTATCTCACTATTATTCTCTGCTTTTGGCTTTCAGGAGGAGAGGGGTGGAAGAGATTAACCAAAGAACTTGTATCCCTATAATCATAATCCATGGACACAGACAATAGTGCAGGGGGAGGGGGAGGGGAGACAGATGCAGGGTGGAAGGGGATAGTGGGTGGAAATAGGGGACATCTGTAATACTTTCAACAATAAAACTAATTTAAAACAAAACAACAACAAAAAACAAATGTGGACTGCACACGGCATACTTTGCCTGCCATGATCAGGTCAGCCCACAAAACTCCCAGCAGGCCAGAACCAGGGTAGAATACCGCATAGATCTCAGCGTTTGGAATTGGAGCAATTTCAAACATCTCTGAAGTGAGAGGCAGTATGATGTTGGCTAAGAAGAGGCTAACTATGGAGACAGCCTGCCTGGATTCAAATCCCAGCTTGGCCCCTCATAATCCATGTAATCTTGGACAAATTTCTCAACTCTGCTAAGCCTCAGCTTTCTGCTCTGTAACGCGGGAACGATCTGAAGACCTATCTTGTAGGGTCACTTTGAAGATTACATGAGTTAATTCCCCCCAGTGCAAGCTTAGGATGCTGACTGGCAAGTGGTGAGAACTAGATAAGTGTTTGCTCGTTTATTGAGTCCACATCATGCAAGCCACGATGCTACATGTAAGAAGTCCCTGCTGTCCACAGAAGAGCTGGAAGTGAAACGCAGCACACAATTAGAACCCTCAGTGAGAGGTACTGGTAAGATCTAAAAATCTTAGAAGAGAAAGTAGAAGTCGTGCAGTCCAGCTGCCTATTCAGGCCCAACATCTTTCTTAAAATATCTGTGAATTCTTCCATGTTCTATTGGAAAACTTTCAGGAACTTGGAACTCAAACCAATCTATTTTTGAACAGCTGTAACTAGAATATTCTTCCTGACATAAGAAGATGGAGAGATTTCAATCATTAGAATTCCTTTTGAAGGAATCATTTTGTTTATGGACACGGGGGCTTGCTGCTTCAACTGCCATCTAAGAAAGGTGCGTCTTTGTTTTGCTGATGTTGGAACTGAGTTTTCATAGAAATTGTGAGGCTCAGAATGAACTAAATTCATTTGTGCAGTAGTAAATATATCTAATAGAGACTTTTGTTATTTTTTTATAAATATTGTTGAAAGTATTACATATGTCCCCCTTTTTGTTTTCCCAATTGCCCTCCCCCCCAATAGAGACTTTTTTTAATAACATGTTTTTATTGATTTCAGAGAGAGATAGAAACATCAATGATGAGAGAGAATCATTGATTGGCTGCCTCCTGCACGCCCCCTACTGGGGATCGAGCCCACAACCCAGGCGTGTGCCCTTGACGGGAATCGAACCTAGGACCCTTTAGTCCGCAGGCCGATGCTCTATCCACTGAGCCAAACCAGCTAGGGCTCTAATAGAGATTTTTTTAAAAGACTAACATCACCCAGTTGATGTGGCTCAGTTGGTTGAGCGTCATCCCTTGCACCAGGAGGTTGCTGGTTCAATTCCCACCTAGGTCACATGCCTGGGTGTGGGCTCGATACCCAGTGGGGGGCAGCCAACCAGCCAATTGATGTTCCTATATCTCTGTCCCTTCCTCTCTCACTAAAATAAGTAAAAACATATTTTTTTTAAAAAGAGAAAGACTAATGTCTTTGATTTCTAGAATGACACACACTTATATAATAAAGAGGCACAGAGAAGAAATTAAAGACACCTAAAATTTTACCATGGAAATATTTATTAACATTAAAAATATTTTTATTGATTTCAGAGAAGAAGGGAGAGGGAGAGAGATAAAATATCAATAATGAGAGAGAGCCCTAGCCAGTTTGGCTCAGTGGATAGAGCATCAGCCTGCGGACTCAAGGGTCCCAGGTTCGATTCCAGTCAGGGCACATGTCCGGGGTTGCGGGCTGGATTCCCAGTAGGGGACATGCAGGAGGCAGCCGATCAATAATTCTCTTTCATCATTGATGTTTCTATCTATCTCCCTCTCCCTTCCTCTCTGAAATGAATAAAAATCTATTTTAAAATAATAATAATAATAATAATAATAAAGAAATATATATTTGTCTTCCCCTTTCTTATACAAAGTGTAGCATCTTACTTAGTTCACTTAATATCTTGCTTTCCATATCTATTTAGAAAGAGCTTCCTTATTCCTTTATTCCTTTTGCAGCTGCATCGTATTAATTTTGTGCATATACCAAAATCTATTAACCTAGCTGGTGGACATTTACCTGTTTTCAAACTCTTGCTATTGTATACAATGCTATCATGTTTAATCTCATACCTACACCTCATGTCATGTCTGTCCCATGCAGAATATCTGCAAGATAAACTCCCAGGAGTGGGGTTGCCCAGTCACAGGGTATACATATTTGTAGTTTTTATATCCACCCTAAAGTACCCCTTTATAGGGTTTACCAACGTGCACACCCACCAGCAATGCATGAGGGTAACTAATTCCCTAAAACTTTGACAACTGTTTTCAGATGTTGCCATTTTTGCCAACTTGACAGATGACAGGTGATGGCTCAGTTTAGTTTTATTTGTTCCATTTTTAAAAATTGAGGTAAAACATACATATAGTAAAATGAACAACTCAACAAATTTTAACACATGTATGCAGTGCTTGCTTCAGCAGCACATATACTAAAATTGGAACGACACAGAGAAGATTAGCATGGCTCCTGTGCAAATTCATGAAGTGTTCCATATATTTTTGGAGGAAACAAACAAAAAACATGCAGTCACCCAAATAAACCACGCAATCCTCACCCAAATAAAGATGTGATTGTTCCCAGCACCTCTAAGTCTCCTTAATGTCCCTTCTCAAGCAATACCTCCCCCAACCCTCACCCCTCGGAGCTATCCATTATTCTTACTTCTATTGCCATAACTTTCAGTATTCTAGAACTTCATATACATGAAACGACATAATATATACTTAGTGTGTCTATTCTATTTTTGTTTCTTTGATTTTAAGACTATTTTTTAAAAAGTTGATTGGTAAACTGAAAGGTCAGGGGTCCGGTTCCGTTCCCTGTCGGGGCACATGCGTGGGTTGAGGGTTCAACCCTGGTTGAGGTGCCTGCAGAAGGCAATCCATCCATGTTTAACTCTCACATGGATGTCCCCTCTCTCTCCCTTCCTAAAATCAATAAAAGCATGTCCTGGGTGAGGATTAAAATAAATTGAAGAAAATGGTTCTGTCATTTAGTAAAATTTTGCGAGATCTAGTGCTGGCACGACTGTGATTTGCACAAGTGGCTCTATGCACTTTTTTTTGGCAACAGCTGGCTCACTGCACTTGCGTGAATGCTTGTGTGATGCATGATGCACTCTCAGCTCGAGGAGCTGGCTCCATGGCATCCGGATGCATTTGCTCCGGGACTGCTTAGGGTGACAGCTCCGCTCCCTCACTGCCAATCCGTAGCTACAATTGGGGTTTCCCAAAGTCAACCGCAGTCTCCCAGCTCCTGTACCTTCCCAAGCTCCGGATGGAGAGAGGAAAGGCGGGTTAAGGGAGTTAAGGAGGGCGGAGGCCCGCGCTGCGCATGCGCATCAGTGCGCGCAAGCGCAGCCTCGCTCCTTCCTGATCACCTTGCGCTTCCAGCCTCCGGAAGTCGGCCACCCCGCCCTCCAAGAGCAAATGAGGGCTGCGATTGGGCGTTCTCGTTGTCCATCAGGACGGTCGCTCTTCTTAATATCATTGGCAGCTGGGAAAAGGCCGGCCGCTGTCCTCCGCCTACCGCTCCGAGCCTCTGAGTCACCGCTGAAGCCGCAATTGGCGGAGGCCGAGCACCCCGACTGCTCACTTCCGGCGCGGGCCTCCACGATTCCTCCCCTCCCCCGCTGTCCCCTCCGCCTTCCCACCCCCCGCCCTTCCACCATGGCCGCCTCTGTGTGGTGTAGGGAGAAGCTGGCCCTCGGTGCCTTCCTGTAGCGCTTATTGCCTCACCCTCACCCCCAGGGGACGGATCCAAAGGAGCCTCGCGCTCTAACCCTGGGGGCGCCAGCCAGGAGGTGGCCCTCCCCCCACTGCGGGGCAGGACTGCTCTTGCACCCAGCTCCTGAGGCAGCAACTTAGGGTTCCCCTACCTCTCTCAGGGTCAGAGCCAGAAGGGGCTTATCCCCACTTCCTCGGGGCCGGAAGCCTGTCCTCCCCCGCTCGGGGCGCAGCCCCTTGACTTCAGCAGAGTTAACGGCTCTTCCCCGGCGCTGCCCCTCCACGGCAGGACCTAGAGGGCCACCCGCCTTGGCCTCCTCCAGAGCGGCCTTCCGCAGAGGAGGGAGGCGTGGAGAGGACAGGGACCCTTCCCCTCCCCTCCCCACGAGTCCCTTTGCCCCCGGTCCCTGGCAACCCAGAGGTCCTCGTTTCTAGGACTCCCCATCCCTCCCCTCCCTGGCCTCTTCCCGCCTCCGGGCTGCAGCCATGGAGTTACAGAAGGGAAAGGGCGCAGCAGCAGCTGCTGCTGCAGGAGCAGCGGGAGGTGGAGGAGGAGCGGGAGCAGGAGCCCCAGGAGGGGGGAGGCTGCTACTTTCCACCAGTTTGGATGCCAAGGATGAGTTAGAGGAGGTAGGTGCGGGGGGAGGGGAAGGGAGCTGAGGAACGGGGCTGAGGAGGGATCCCGGAGCGGATACGGGGTGGGGGTGGGGAGGAGGCCTGCCAGTTTTTTCCAAGGCAACACGCTGTTCCACACTTCCTGTTCCTGAAGGAAGAAGTGTGGGCCAACTTCCTGGACAGGTTGTCATAGCAACAGAAGCCACTCGTGTGAAAATGGGTGGGGAGGGGGTGTTGATGAGGAAGGGATACAGCGTCCAGATCTACCGATTTTTATATTTTATTTTTTTGACATTCCTTTCCACGTAACAGGCCACAGCTATTCTTAATAGTTGCCCTGTTTCAGACTTAGGTCCTATGTTGAGAAGTAATGTGTGTGTGTGTACCTGTCCGGGGGCCCATAGGAACTTGCAGCAGATCTTGAACCCTTATGTTAGACAGTATTGGCTTCATGTAGGCACAGTCAATGGCCAGTTGATGTTAACTGGGCATGTCTTTATTTATTTATTTGTGAGTTTTTGTAATAGTTCACTTGAGCCAAATTGATGGCATATACGGGGAGCAAGATCTCAAATGCTCCCTTAACTGGGCATTTGGAGTGAGTGAAAACTTAAGCAAACGTGGTAGTGTTTAGTTGGCATCCTCTGCAGCAGTGGGGTGAGGGGACACCTTCAGAACCAGATAGCTCACGGAAAGATGCCAAGGAAGTGGGTGGAGTGAGGTGATGGAGTGGACGGTAAGGGGGATTTTAGATTAGGGATAGTAGACCTCTCCTCCCTTTCCCCACTTGTTCCTCTTCCCCTGCCCCTGCCCACCCAGATTGGCTCATGCAGCTCTTTCCACCGTCACAGACCAAGAGACATACTTAGGAATATGAGACCCAGAACTGGGAAATGATTGTTGAACTGTCCTTAAGATCTAATGCATTCAACTTGGTTATCCAGGGACAGGATGAGTAAGTTAGACTCTGGCTCTTCACTGGCCATTTCCCTGCTTATAACTGTCACTGCCCTTTATCAAATATTAGTGGGTGGGCAGGCAGAGAGGTGGAATTCAGAATTTAGATTTGGAGAAATGTTGGTTCAGGTTCAGGTGGTGGAATATATATATACAGAAATGAATTTTGTGAATCAAGAGGTGCTGGATAGCAACTTTGAGGATTATCCACCAGCACATGTCTCCTCACAGATATGCTTCCTATCATGCATCTCCCCCATAATTCTTTGTGCTTTTAGGAAAATCAAAGTTTGTTTTCTCCTGTTGTTTTTATCAGTAGATATAACTAGGAACATACACAGTGCTTCTAAGAGTAATGTATTCCCAAGGAGATAATGACTCCAGGATTGTTTGGCAGTTTGAATTACCCACTTTTTTTTAGAAGTGGCCACTGTCATTGACAAAGTATTTATTGAGCCCTTTGTTGTAGTGCTGGAGCTCTGGAATCGTAGAGGGAAAATAACTGACTGCCTTTGATCCCTCCACCAGTTTGAGTGGAGGGGACAAGTCCCCAAAAGTTGGATGAAAATCTGTTTATTTTACCACCGTGACTGTTAGAGTCATCCTGCCTCTGCTCTAATTTGTGCCACAGGATCAGCATCCTGTTCTGAGCAGTGACGTGTTTACTAGTAAACGAAGTGGCATGGCAGGAGGGGAACACAAAAGAAAGGAAGCATTTATTTTCTTGCTTTTTTTGGTCTGTCTGAAAGTGAACTTTCAGCTGTTTCCAGGGAGAAGGGGGAGGAAGGGTCTCTTTTTTCTGAAATCCTTCGTGGTGTAGATGTTTCCTGCATGTCTTGGGCTCCCCCTTTCTCTGCCCTTTGTCCTTTGTCCTTTGCATTTGAATTTTCCAGCAAGCCTTGCCACTCTGTTGTTGTTTTGTTGTTATTTTTTGCAATTCATCTTGCTCTTTTTTTTTTTTTCTTTTTCTTGCCACTCTGTTTTTAACCCCATGTGTATGGTTCCCATTAGACCAGAGTGTCTCTAAGGGCAAGACTTACTGGCTTCTTCCTCAGGGTCTCCCCACAGATGTTTGCACACGGAAGTTATCAAAACCTCATGGAGACTGGCTGGTCTCTGCTTGTTCTTGTTTGGTTATCTTCTCACACAGGCCTACCTATTGCCTGGGAACACAGAGTTAGCTTCCTGACCATAGGTGCTTAGAGTGCTGAGTCTGATAAGAAAGAGAATGAGGGAGACCCAAGGTCTGCTTTCCAGAACTTACCATCTAAAGACTGAGTTAACTTACCGTAGGGAGGTTAACAAAACCACTGGTTATGGTCGTGAAGAGACTGGGCATGATGAGGAAGGGCCCTTTAGGGTCTGCGGTATGAAGCACTGGTGGGGAGCATTCCAGGCCGGGACTGGGACTCTGCTACCCCAGGGAGCATTTGTTGTATCCTTTCTTCTCCTTGGCCCTGTTCCTCTCTTTGAAGAGGGAATTCTTGCCGATCCCTGTCCCCTTTTGGGAATGAGATAAAAATAGTGCCACAGATTGGAAGCATTTAGAACATGGAGCTCCTAGTCTCAAACGTTCTCAGCCCCCCAGTCTTTTCTCTGCTGAGAAGGACTCTGTCCACTTGGAAGTCAGGCTGAAAGCAGGAGCTGTGGCCCAAAGAAGTCAGAACTTCCCCTTAAGCTATGGGCAGGTCTCAGAGCTGCCTTTGGTTAGAGGTATGTCCCTTCCAGGTTTTCTCTAAGGAATAATTCATATCTTGTCTGTGAGGAATCTCTGATGTTTTCCCCCCTTAAATCCTCATTTCTCAGATACGTGACTCTTGGTTGTGGAGTACTTGGAAACACGGCTTGTTCAATAATGTGGGTCCTTGGGATTTTGCAGGTTGGATCATATTCTCTTTTTCTGAAGGTGGTAGAATTTAGTCCTTCAAGGCCACTCACTGACTTCCATAAGGGGGTAGTATTTAATTTACATTTGTTACCAGACTGTATATTCACCTGGCTGAGGGAGGGGAAACAGAGGCTAGAGGGATCCTTCTAACTTCAGTCTCCAGCTTCAGGTATGTACTGGAAAACCGAAAGGCCACCTCCCACCCCCTCTGCCCATACTCCACCTACTGCTGCTATCATGGAAACCATGTTCAGGTACTCAGTACTAGAAAAATTAATTCAGAAGCTCCTAGAAATGGTAAATAATTACTCAGCTCTCTGAGGTGCTGTTGTGGAGGGCTTGCACTGAACACAGCTGTTCTGCCAGCTGTTGGCAACTGCATGTATGATTCCATCTTTGCTAAGGGCCTCTAGAGAAAGGGGTACTACTACTTGATTGTAGAGATTTGGCCTCCTGTAGTCCTCTTTGAGGCAGTGTGGTCCTTCTGTCACCCTGAATGATTTGTAATTAGTTCTCCCATCCGTGTTTGGAAAAGTAATTTCCGTAGTTCGGAAAGAGTAGCATCTTTTATACTTCGGTTGCCTGGAAGGACTGGCCCTCACGTTTCTTTTCTCACTGCTTTTATCTACACATCCAAATTCTGGACTCTCCCACTTCGTACATCCTTACTTTCCAAGAGGCCACTTTTCTTCTGGACTGGGCAGTGACTCAGAGCATTGCCTCAGGCCTCTGAGTGGAGTTTAGAATATGGAGAAGGGGCCTCAGAAACCTGGTTCAGCCAAGGTCTCTGTTCCGTCACGGCTGCAGGCTGTGTATGTCTTTGCTGTAGGATCTTGGTGCAAGGTCCATCAGGTAGGCCTCCTCCCCTCGCCCCTGAGCTTTTTCCTTCTCTCCTAGAAGGCAAAGGTTTACCGAAGGTAAGCAGGAGAGGAGGCTTTTCAGTCTGGCTAGGGACTTAACCCATGTTCTATAGCAGCAGGATTCAGTTTTCAGGAATCTTTAAGGATGAGCCATTAGCCACCGTGGCGGGGGTCAGTCTGGTCCTCGTAGATTTAGTTGTGCAGCTGCTGAGCTTCCTCACAAAGGGGATAGATTCTAATTCAACTGAGGCTGTATGCTAGGTGCTTTCACATTATGTATGTTAGCTCCTTGAATCCTCAGAGTATCTTCACAATCCAGGCGTTGTTTCTATTTTCAGATGAGCAACCCAGGGTTTAGAGAGGATAAGTCAGTCACCCCAGGTTCGCCCAAGGCTAGCAAGTGGTGGTGGGCTTCTGCTGGTCAGTTTGCTTATTAGCTTGCTGCTGCTCTTTGACTTGCATCTCTGCTGATTCAACAGATTTTTCCTTTGAGGAGGAAGCAATATCTAGAATTCTAGGATGCTGTGCTGCTGCTTGTGTCTCATCTTCCTCCACTTTGATTCTGCTTGTTACCCTAGGCCAGTGGCCGGCAAACTGCGGCTCGCGAGGCACATGCGGCTCTTTGGCCCCTTGAGTGTAGACATGAAGTTTCAATCGCACTGTACATGCGCGTGGTATTTTGTGGAAGAGCCGCACTCAAGGGGCCGCAGAACTGACCACTGCTGGGTGAACAGTTCCCCCCAGAGCTGTCAGCAAAAATAGTTTGGACCTACCCACTGGACCTACCTGTAGGTGAGATGCTGCGGTCATTGATGACTACCTTGGGTGGAGAGGGATAAGATTTAAGAAGAGAAAATCCAACCTGAAGGTCTTCCTTCCCTCCCCTTACCCAGGAGCTAGACCAGGTGATGATGAATCTCAGAGCTTGTGGGTGAGGTGGGTTGTGAGAGTCACGGCCCAGCTTTCATGTGCTCTCACAGCTCCTTTTCACAAGTACCCAGGTGCTGTTGATTAAGGCTGAACACAGTGATCTGACCTCATTTGAGGGATAGGCCTGGTGATGGAGAGTGGAGTTATAATACCTTCAAACCTGAGTGGCTTTGGGCCTATTTTAGATTGAAGTTTTGTGGCTGTGGGAGCTCCTTGCCTTAACACTCAGTTCTACCCTGTGCCACCCTATCCTCTTAGGGTTGACTGTCAAAGGAGGATTGTCTTCAGGCCTCTTTCCCATTGTCCTGATTTGTTGGTTCCTCACCATGCTGCAGTACAACCAGTTCTCAACAAGATGTTTTGTGATGACCTCTAGGATCGGGAAGTAAATTGCCAGCCTTTGTCCCTGTTTTCCCAGCATCTTTATCACTGGGGATTGGGAAGTGATTTTTCTTAAAAAGTTTTTGGGTTAATCAAGATAAAAGACTCAGGAAGTAGTTTAGGTGGTGATGACGAAGAGACCCACTGACTTAACATGGATATATTTTCTCAGTATTTAGTCTTACATGCTGCTTTGGAACAAGGATCAGTGACTAAGCTCTCCTAGGATGTTGAGCACATGTCATGTACGAGAGCTGCCCTTTGAAACCAGAGTGGCTCCTGAGTGGGCTTTAATGCAGCCATCCCCACCTTTGACTAGAGGCCCAGCAGGTTTTAGGTTGGCTTTTGTTCTCCATTAGTCCTTTTCTTTTCCTCACACTCATTTTAAAGTTTTGTTTTTAACTTTTTTGGGGTGGTGGTGGCGGGGGGGACATTTCAAACAAAAAAGTAGAGAGAATAGTATAATTTCCATGTAGCCATCACTCTGCTTCAGTACTTATTAGCATATGGCAATCTTGTTTTATCTCCCCCAGTCTATCTGGATTATTTTGAAGCGAATCCAAGATATAATTTCATCTGTAGTTCATATATATATATGTATATGTGTGTGTGTATATATATATATATGTATATATATATATACACACACATATATATACCTATGAGAGAAGGACTTAAAAAATAGCCACAATAACACCTAAAATGTTAATAATTCCTTAATATAATAAAATATTTAGTGCTCAAAGTTCTCTTGTCTCATAAATTCTTTTTATAATTGGTTTGTTCATATCAGGAATCAGAAAAGGACCACACTTTGCATTCTCTTGCTGTGTCTTTTTAATTTTTTAATAACTTTTAAAATAATTTCAAGCTTAGAGAAAAATTATAACACATAGAACTCTTATATATTGTTCACTAAGATTCGCCAATAATTAACAGTTGCCACATTTGCTTTTTTAAAAAAGTGTTCTATTTTTTAAAAAATATATTTTATTGATTTTTTACAGAGAGGAAGGGAGAGGGATAGAGTTAGAAACATTGATAAGAGAGAAACATCCGATCAGCTGCCTCCTGCACACCCCCTACTGGGGATGTGCCCGCAACCAAGGTACATGCCCTTGACTGGAATCGAACCTGGGACCCTTTAGTCCACAGGCCGACGCTCTATCCACTGAGCCAAACCGCCAAACCGGTTAGGGCAAAGTGTTCTATTTTTAATCCTCACCCAAGGATTTGTTTTCAATGATTTTTATTTATTTATTTATTTTTAATTTTCTTTTTTTAAATATAAATTTATTTATTTCAGAGAGAAAGGGAGAGGGAGAAAGAGATAGAAACATCAATGATGAGAATCATTGATCTGCTGCCTCCTGCACGCCCCCTACTGGAGATTGAGCCCACAACCTGGTGACTGGAATCGAACCTGGAATCTTTCAGTCTACAGGCGGATGCTCTATCCACTGAACCAAACTGGCTAGGCCTGTTTTTAATGATTTTTAGAGAGAGAGAAACATTGGTCAGTTGCCTCCCGTATGCGCCCCAGCGGGATCAAACCTGCAACCTAGGTATGTGCACTCTGACTAGGAATCAAGCCTGCAACGTTTTTTTGCTCCAGCCTACTGAGCCACCCAGGCAGGACTTTATCCTTGCAGTTTACGTGTGAAAGAAATCAGGTCACGTGTCATGTTCTCCACATTCTGGATTTTGCTGATTATACCCATAGTGATGGTAGTTAGCTCTAGAGACATAATGATGTTGGAATTTCTAAAACGTTTTTGGGCCAGAAGTATTTCACTGTTAATTTTTCTCATTCACAGAGGTTGGAAAGATGTATGAGCATTGTGACATCGATGACTACTGGTGTCTCAGAGAGAGAGGCCAATGATGCCCTCAATGCCTACGTGAGTATAATGCTCTCTCCCCTTGTCCACTTGTGCGTATTTGAAAGCTCTGAGACATGACCAGAAAGATGGAAAGACTTAAGTGGTGGGAATTAGGGAACTGAAGTCAGTGTCTTGGCTCCCCAAACCAGGCTTCCAACTCCTCTTTCTTGCTTGTGGGAGTTCATTTCTTGGAGCCTTAGGCATCTTTTAAAATAAATAAATATATATATATTTTTTTTATTGATTTCAGAGAGGAAGGGAGAGGGAGAGAAAGAAACATCAATGATGACAGAGCATGATTGATTGGCTGCCTCCTGCACACCCCCTACTGGGGATCAAGCCAGCAACCCAGGTTTGTGCCCTGGCTCAGAATGAACTCTGACCTCCTGGTTCATAGGTTGATGCTCAACCACTGAGCCGCACTGGGCCCTTCGGCATCTTTAAATAACAACTTTAAATAATAACTCATAGTCCCATAGTGACTTTTTTCTTTGTAAACCATTCTTTCACATGTGCTAATCTGTGGCGTTGAAAAAATATTATAAATAGTACACATGAAGGACTTAGAAAAATGGTACATAGTGAACGCCCTGTAAGTATTACCTACTTATATTTATTTTGTTATTATTTTTTTAATTGTCATTATGTCTTTATCTTACAAATGTCAGAGGTTCAATGATTTGTGCTACTCCATGACTGTTTGCAGCTCCTGCTCTGCTGAAGGCTGTTAAGGTCTGGGAAGTGGAGGAGGATTTGTTTTTTTTTTCCATTTTAAACACTTAATTTTCTGCCCCTGGTCTGCATCAAGCCTTGGAGAAAAGCAATAAGATCTATCCTTTCCCTCCACCTCGCCTCTAGAACAGATGCCCCATCACTGTTAGGAGAAGGAATCCTCAGATTTAAGAGTTGATGATTCTCCTTTGCAGGTTGCCTACGAGTCCCAAGTTTTCTGGGAGAAACTGTGCTCGAGAACTTTTCTCCTGTGAGTGACAGCTATTGTTTTTTCTTCCTCTGATCCCAGGTATGCAAAGGCCCCCCCCAACATGAGGAAATCTGCCTGGGTCTCTTTACTCTTGTCCTCACTGAACCTACTCAAGCCCAGAAGGTAAGATGCCCTGCTCTGGATCCACAGACCCTCCTCAGATACGATCTGAGAATACGGTGGAACATGGATATGGCTTCATGGCATAGTGCCAGACACTGTGGGCAGAGCTCTAAATGTAGTTTTTTACGCTCCGTGAATTTGCCACTCTCTGACTAAAGTCCCTTCTCTGTCTCTAGATTCTGAAGCTAAAAGGCAGTTGTGAGAGTGAAAAGCATATAAAAGGCTTCACATTTTAGGTTCACTACTCAAGGCTAAAAGACTTGGGGTGTAAGCTAGAGAATAGAACAACTGTAACCAGGAGAGTTCTTCCCCAGAAGCGCATAATCTGTAGTTTTCAGGTTCTATCACTGGCAGGTGAACAGAAAGCAGGCTTGAGGTTGCAGCAGGTCGGATTTAAATTAGATAGCTGGATGTTAGATGATTGACACAGTAATAATGTAATGGACTAACTAGAGTTAGACTTCCTGAGGAATACTATATGAAAACTAGTCTGGGGTTTTCACAGAGCCTTCTTTATGTGGAATGGTTTAAGTGGGATCCTTCCTTGAGGTGAGGGACTGGACAGGATGATCTCTTTGGATTCTGTTCTTTCTATAATAAAGGAGCAGAATTCTGTCTTTTACCTCTTCACATTTCCCCTTTCCAGCAATTCTGTGTCCTTTGTGTCTTGGCATGTTGGTTTAGAAGTTTATGTCTGATATCTGGCATTAACTATATGCTGCTAACAGAGAAAAACTTAGAGTGGGAGAATTTAATATTCTCACGGCCCTTCCCTGAGCAAGGGGAGTGTGGAAAAAGGCAGACATGCCCTGTGCCCAGTGTTGTGTTAGGCTGTATCCAGACAGGTTCTCATTTATCCTTCGAAAAAGCCATATGAGGTTGGTGGCTTTGTCCCTTCTCCCTAAACTGCTCCCCGTTTATCTATAAGTTAACTGGATATCAGAGACATTATTGTTTGTTCAAGGAGAACCAAAGAAAAATCATCCCTAGGGACAAAGACAGGATGCCAGGTCCCCTGGCATAGCTGCTTGAATTAACCTCAGGAGAAGAATTTATGGGCATGGCAACCAGGTGTATTTGTACTCTTCTGGTGCCAGCTGGAGGAGGGTCTGGTATGCTTGTTGGGAGGGTGGGGCAGCAAGTATTCACAAGTCCTTGGTTTCACAGGCCATTTCTGGGCTGGGACCTTGTTGAGTTAAATTGGCATTTCATTTTCATACTGAATTCGTCATTAAGATCCTTGGAAACACATGAATATTGCCAAGTTGGTGGTGTTAAACAGTGATTGATATGATCAAGTCTAGCCCCTCTATTTTATTTTATTATGTATTGATTGATTAATATTAGAGGGGGGGGGAGGGAGAGAAACAAACACAGAGAGAAACATTGATTTGTTGTTCCACTTATTTATGCATTCATTGGTTGATTATTGTATGTGTTCTTACCGGGGACTGAACCCAAAACCTTGGCATATAGTGATGACACTAAACAACTGAACAACCCGGCCAGGCAGCCCTTCTATTTTAAAGAAATTATTGGCAAAGTTGGGTGTGTAGGGATTGGGGTTGAGGTTTAATTTTTTCTTGTGTGGGTTTCATAAATACAATTAAAATATCATTTAATCATCTTAATGCAAAGTCATTTTGCCCGCTGTTTTTTTTTTGTTGTTGTTTTTTGTTTTTTAAAGATTTTTTTATTGATTTCAGAGAGGAAAGGAGAGAGAGAGATAGAAACATCAATGATGATAGAGAATCATTGATTGGCTGCCTCCTGCACACCTCACCCTGAGGATTGAGCCTGAAACCCGGACATGTGCCCTGACCGGGAATTGAACCGTGACCTCCTAGTTCATAGGTCGACGCTCAACCACTGAGCCACACCAGCTGGGCCTGCTGTTTTTTCATTTGTTTCAGATGGGCTCTGAATCAGCGAGGGTATATATTAGTAAACATCACTCAAGGGAGCAGGGTGTGTGGAGTATTTCTGGTTCTTTGTCTGACCTGGCAGTGAGAGGCCTCAGGACTCTGCGTTATGAAAGCTTATTATGTTGTGAATTTGGCCATCCAGACCCAGCAAGGGACAAGAGTACCTTGTCTTCTTTGTGCCCTACAGTAGCCCTCTGGGGGTGGCCCAGGCCCTCACCCTGGGTCTCACTGCTGGTTGCCAGATACATCAGGATTATGTTCACATGCTAAAGGTTTCTAAGTAAATCCTTTACCTGGGATCTTCCTACGCGGACAGGCCCCAGGTCGGGCCTCTTCAGACAAAGCGGGTAAAGATGGGGAAATAGGAGGATACAGTTTTAGCAAGTGAGGCACCATCAGTGACTCATTCAGAGTCCTTGAGCCAGGTCAGGTTATGGTGGAGGAGTTAGTGACGTCTCCCCCATTGTGCTTTGATCCTTCTCCCTAAAAGGTCGATTATGTTGTGAAATACTTCTGTCCTGCAGAAGTTTTAGGTGGGGGTTACTGATGAGAACTGATCCTCATGCATTGTTTCAGGCTTTAGCTTAAAACAAGGGGAGTGTTTTCTAAGGGTTTATTTGGGTTAATTCTGTCTCTGGAACAGAAACCTAAGGATGGATTGGGGATTCCGTTGTTCCTGCATCTTCACAGGGATAATGGAGAACGTGGTAGTAGAAACTAAGTCTTGAACACATGAGAAATTTGCTCTGGGAGCGTGAGGTGAGGAGCCTGTGTCAGTGCTGGCAGGCAGGTTCAGAGTTAGGGCCAGCTCTCTGAGACTTCTAAGTGGGTGGATTGAACCCGAGAACTCAGTTGAAGAGAAAACAGATCAGGTATTGGTGGAGAGTAGAATCTGCATGGGGTGGATTTTGTTCCAGATGTACCTTCTTAATTTACGTCTGCTCTCTTGGCAACTCTTAGGAATGTTTATATTCTTTGACTTTATTTATTTCCTATTTGATGTCTGAACTGAATAGCTGGGAGTGGGCCTGGCTGAAGGACTCTGGTAAGAAGAGAGGCTAAAGGAGAGGCCTTGCCTTCCGTGAAGGCGCTGGCAGTCAGTAGATAAAAAGAGGGGTCTAACATCAATGCCAAGATCTCTCTTCACCAAGGGGTCAAGGACTCCGGCCCTGGCAGTTCTTGGTCTAGATACAGTTCCCTAAGCAGGCAGCTCCAGGAAGTTGGGGGCTGTGAGGGCCGGGGCTGGATGGAATATCTGCCTCGACAGACCCAGGACCGATGTGCGACCATCCTGTCACCTTTCCTTTCTCTTGAGACTCTCCTTCTCTTCTCTGTTGCCTACTGAGTCCTCCCTCTCCCCCTCTATTTGTTTTCCAAGCCAGTCAGCAAACTGGTACAGAGGTTGGTGAGAAAACTGGCAGCATCAGAAAGATGATACTCCTGGTACCCAGCTGCCATGTGTGACTAGCAGTGGTGGTTGTTAAGGTCCCAGCTGGAGCATGGAATTAGGCAGACAGTATCTGCTTCCTTCATCTGACCCTGTGTCTCCTCAGAGACTCTTCCTTCCCTGTTCTGGGTCTATTCTACATTTCTGCTTTCGTTTGAATAGACAGGAGGGCTCTTCTCTGGTTTTCTTCTGCCTCCCTCATCCTCTCTGCATTCTGTGGCTCACATCTCGGGGGGAGGCTCCAGGCTCTACTACCAACATTTATGACCTCACCTTGGCAATAGTTCACTGGATCCTTTTATCTCTTCCTTGTTCCCTTGCTTATACTTTTGATCTCCCTGCCTTCACCTCAGATGGAGTCAGAGAATAATAAGGTTTTCCTTTGGGTATGAAACATTTGTGGCACATGTGGGATTCCCTAAGTGTTGGTATTTTCATTATATTAATTAGTTTGACTTAAGGACACTAGAGACAAGAGGAAGCGACAGTAGCTAATCTCTTAGGAGTCCCCAGTCACTCCAAGGCCAGGGAGCAGCTGGTCTTGAGTACTCCTCTTTTGACTACTTAGGATGAAAGAGTTTAAAAACCTAGCAGTCTCAGAACCACCATAAATTCTTATTTCCATCCCAGCAGCCTCTTCTTTTAGTGATTTCTCACAGTGGTACAGGGGTGGTTAAGAGCATGGATTCTACAATTGGACTGTCTAGACTTGAATCCTGGTTCTTCCTCTTATCTCTTATGTTACATGGGTCAAATTATTTTAACCTCTCTATGCCTGTTTTCTCACCCGTAAACACAGAGATAATAAATAGTACTATTTCAAAGGGTTGTTATGTAATTCAAATGCAATAATATGTATATGATACAACTTGGCACATGATGCCAATGCATTATCATTGCTGTTATAATTGCTATTATGGTTGATGCCAGCCTTCCAAGGTCGTGGAAAGCTGCCTACCTAATTTTACCCTTTGTGCTCAGACCCTGGCAGCAGAGAACTCAGCAGGCCAAGAAGGTCGCTAATGAGGTCCCCTAAGGTATTCCTCCAGGAGTCTGGTCTCCAGAGAGACCGGGTGAGAAAAGCTCCAGGGGGAAGGGAAGCAAGAACTCCCAGAGGAAATCGGCATGCCCCCCTCAGCTCCCCCAGGGGTGGGTATGCATAAGGACCCCTCCTTTTTCAATACTTGGCAGAAGCCAAGGGCAGCCCAGAGAAAAGGAAGACACGGAGTTAAGGAAATTCAGTTTAGTTTCGCCCTTTCTTTCTGGGGCCCAGGTCCCTGGATCCTCTTCCTTTAATACTCCTATCCCTTTGCTTCTTCTGGCTGGGTCAGTACAGGCTTCAAAACTTCTTTGTGATCCTTTCTGGCCTGTTCAACCAAACCCATTCTGTGGTGACCTTTTTACTGGCAGATGAAAAGCAGATGGCCTCCACCTGGTTTTGCTCAGCGTGTGGCATCAAACAGTGTGACATTTCCTAAGAAGGGAGGTGGGGGGACAGGGAGCCTTTCTGAGCAGGCTTTTCTGCTTTATTAGAGAATAGCTCAGTCTGCCCCCCCCCCCACCCCACTCCATGTGATGGAGCAAGGGATAGGTTAGCGTGCAGAGTGGAAAGTCCTTCATTGCTACTCATATTGGTGTTAAGTTGAACAGGCCAGGGGGCCCCCTGTGGGTGGGGTCAGGAGTGGATCCTCAGCTTGCTGGCTGCTTACAAAACTCTCTTCTCAGTGTTACCGGGACTTGGCTCTGGTGACTCGTGACGGCATGAATATCGTCTTGAATAAAATCAACCAGATACTTATGGAGAAGTACTTGAAGTTGCAGGACACCTGCCGAACTCAGGTAAGGCCAGAAAGAAAAGAGATGCAGCTCAAAGACTGAACAGAGGAGGAATCGGGAGTAACATACCCCCACCTTTGTACACCTGAGTTGTAATGTTATTGGATGAGCCCATTTCTCCAATTCATAGGCCCTTCTCTTCATCTGTTTTTTCCTTTCTCCTTTAGTTGGTGTGGTTGGTACGGGAACTAGTGAAGAGTGGGGTTCTGGGAGCTGATGGTGTATGCATGACATTCATGAAGCAGATTGCTGGTGAGTTTGATGGCAAGAGCGTAAAGAAGAAAGGAGAGGAGCCCAGAGACTGCACCAGGCAATGGAGAATGATTGCGTGCCTCAGGGACTCCATTTCTGGGTCATTTAGACTCTCCTTCTGAGGAAGGCGTCTTCTGGCCACATATGTTGAAGAAGAAATTGAAAAGTCCCGGGGCGCCTTTTGAATCAATAAGTCTTGCCTCATTTTTCTTCCTGCCAAACTCAGGCCTGACATAGGATAGTTGACCTATTTTAGCCAGTCAAGCCAATAGTCAGTAGACATGAGAAGGTGCTCAGTCTCATCAATAATCAGTGAAATGCATACTGGGGTTTATGGGGTATTGGATCTGGAAGGATCTGGAAGGAATGGGGAGAGAAGTGAGGGCCAATAATTTGTTCCCATCACATTATGCTTTCAGAAGCAGACATCTTCCTTGGCTCCACCCCCATGTTCTGTGTACTTGCTCCCTAATAATGATGACATCTGATTAGGGCCAGTTTGAGGGACAAACCATGTCACAGAACAGACCCTGACATTTAGGTGTTTTTTTTATCTTCTTGGCATTGGTGATATCTGTCTAAGCCACTGAATATCCAAGAGGCCTGCCTGTGCCACTTCTGCAAGATCGCATGTGTTTGTTTAAAAAGGAGCCTGCCTCTCCTTCACCAGTGCCCGTTGGTTCTTCGTTTCTTTCTTTAGGATTTTATGTAACACTGATGCTCCTGTTTTGATGTCTGTAAGCCTTAATTTATGTGATGTGTGACTGTGTGAACATTGAATTTTTAAATTGGGACCTGGGGCAAGACATAGCGTTGTGCAGGGTATTTTTATCCACGCTCCTGGCACTTTCTTCCCTGTTAGGCACTCTCAGTCCTCACTTCTCATCCTTAGACTTTAGTCTGGCGCTGCTGCATATTAATTCTGCCCCAAGAAGTTCCTTAGCAAGCCCTGCGGACTGATACCTGGAAATAAGAAACCTTTGGCCCGTCATGAGCCTGACACAGGATGTGGGACGTACACATTCTGGACTGCTACTGTTCCCAGCCCCCGGCACCTCTCAGGCCCTATCTGAGATGTCTTCCTTTCTTTCCAACCATGGTGTCCTTCCCAGACATTCCTGGTGTCCTTCCCAGACATTCCCACTCCAAATGCTAATCTTTGGAAAAGTTGCAGCTCTAGTTTCTGGAAAAATCCAGAACCTTCCCTTCCCTTCTCTCTGGAGGTAAAGGAGGAAACTTTAAAGCCTCACAGAACAAAAGGCAGTTTCCCAAGACTCAGAACATCAGTGATGGATAACAGGGATGGACCAGTGGGACAGGTGACGCAATGTATTGTGTATCTGAGTAGCTAATTAGAATCATTCTGATTCTCTTTTCTCCCTTTTGATTAGGTGGGGATATTACGGCAAAAAATATCTGGTTGGCAGAAAGTGTTCTGGATATCCTGACGGAGCAGAGGTAGAGTCTACCATGAAGGGTGGGGAGAGAGCCAGAGATGGCCTTGTTGGTTTCAAGTGTGGGAAATGGGATGAAAGGAGTGTATGAAGACTGTTAGGTGACCCAGACACCTTAGGTTAGAGACTAAGGCAGGGGAGGGAGAAGCAATTCCATTGGTGGCAGGCGAAGGAATTAATGCCATGATATGCCCAAAGGGATGAAGGAGTGGGAAAGGAGGTCTTTGCTGAAATATCTCAGAGCCCAGGAAAAACTAGTTTCATCTGATAAGGGTTTATTTTTGATCTAGACCTCTTTGGAATGTTTATCTTTGTGGGGAGCGGGGGAGAATGAGCTCAGCAGAATGGGGCCAGCCAAATACCCAGGCCTGGCAGGTACCCCTTTTCTCTCTTCCAAAACTTTCCATCCAACCCATACTCTTGTTGTTGTTGTTGAAGTAGCATGGGAGAGGGGGAGTGAGGAGATCATCGAGACCCGCTAGAAGTGGTTCTCAACCTTCCTAATGCCGCGACCCTTTAATACCGTTCCTCATGTTGTGGTGACCCCCAATTTCATTGTTACAAATTGAACATAATTAAAGCATAGTGATTAATCACAAAAACAATATGTAATTATATATGTGTTTTCCGGTGGTCTTAGGCGACCTCTGTGAAGGGGTCGCGACCCACAGGTTGAGAACCGCTGCTAGAGTTTGCATAAAGGGCTTGGAGGCTCAAGTGGTAGAGCGGGCATAAGGGGGGCATATTGTGTTTTCTCACTGATTCTTTCCCTTCCCCATCAAGTAAAGGATCAGAAATATTATGAGGGCTATTCCATGGCTGAGGCCTTCCTCTTGGTCCTGTGGCCTCAGTCCTCCTTGATTTCAGTGTCTGTTTCAGGGTGAGGACACCATAGTAGTCAAATAATTGAGAGGGCTAATAGCACCCATATTTCCTACTATTTCCTAGTATCCGTGGACCTCCTCCCTCATTCACTTCTGAAAGAGAAGGCTGTGTTCTATGCTCTGCCCAAGCTTGAGAGCTGTGCCAGGTCAGCTGTGCAGTGCCACCTAGTGCCCTGGGCACAGACGTGCACCCGCAGCTGTGACAAGTCACTTCCTCCATCATTATTGGTACCATCGGCACAGCACACGAGACCCTAGCCATTTCTCACCAGGCCTCTGCTTCTCGTAGGTGTCTTTGCAGAATGTCTGTGTCCTGGTCAGAGGGACTCCCTTTCTTTCTCTTACTTCTGTTAGCAACTTTCCTAAAAAGTAATTTTTCTCATTTTGTTCCCAATGCAAGATATCTCCCATTTCCATACCTTAAAGCTCAGTTTCTGCCCTCGCTGGTTTGACTCAGTGGATAGAGAGGCCTGCAGACTGAAGGGTCCCAGATTCCATTTCGGTCAGGGGCACATGCTGGGTTGTGGGCTCATCCCCAAGAGGGGCCATGCAGGAGGCAGCCAATCAATGATTCTCTTTCATCATTGATGTTTTTATCTCTCTCTCTCCCTCTCCCTTCTCTCTAAAATCATTAAAAATATATATTTTAAAAAATAAAGAAAGGACAGCAGAGTTATCAAAAAACTACCCATATTAAAAAAACAACTCAGTTTCCCTCATTTAGGCAATTAGAGTGCAGTCTCAGTATACAAGTGTCAGATGAGGGTCCTACCCTTTCTGTCCTCCAAAACACATCCTTTGGTGCGGTGTCCTCTTCCACACCCTCTCCCTCCCTCCCTCCCTCCCAGGCTGTGGAGTTAAAAGGTAGCAGGCGGGGAGGGGCACCCTCCCCAGTGCCCTTGGCTGCTGCTTTCATTCTGTGCAAGGGAAAGGCCAGAGTCTCTTAATTAGGTGGCTGTAGCACTTTTCCGGAATCAGGATGTTGCCTGGTTGGATTAATTAAACTCCCTGTCTTCCTCTGCTTCTCTCCTTCCAGCAGGGGTGCCAGAGCTGTTACAAACTAGTTGCTTGGAGAAGACAGCTCCCTGATTTTGGCACTTTGAGACAGCAATGGAGTTTTTGGAATCTCCCCACTGCGTCTTCCTACCCCTTTTAGAGCACACAATTCTTTCATTACCTTCTTTTCCCCAGAGAAAGTCTAAAACTCCTAGGAAAATAGGCTTTGCTATCCAAAATGAAGTTCTCCTTTTCAGCTTGTGATTTAGGGCAGGTGACTCGTTTGGGAATGGAATCAGTGGAGAGAAAGAAGAGCTCGCGCCAGGGAAGGGTTTGTGGCGTGGTGGGTGGTTAATGGAGCATGATGGAAGGGCTCAAACAGTGTGTTCTGAAACCTCCAGGGTTCTCAAAGGGTCTTAGTTATCCCCAGAGGCCCATCGAATTAGGGAGACTTACAAATGTTTTCCCCATATCTGAGTTGGATAGAAGCTATGGCTTATCTCTGTCCCTAGTACCTCACACATGTTTGGCACATGAGAGGCACTCAGTAAATGTTTGAGGGAGTGAGTCAACAAACAAAATTATTTTATTGGGATCTAGGTAGTTACATGGTAGAGAGAAATTGCTTTCATCAGCATTTATCTGTATTGGACACCTGGTAGAGTAGTAGGACGTTGTCCCCACCTTTGCCAATTGATAGTCCTAGATAATGACAGTATGAACGAGCAGTCAAGGAATCAAAGAACCTACTTCTAGTGCTAATCATCAGACATTTCTAAGATCCTGGAGCCAAGTATGGGGGGAATTGGGAGGGTGGACAGGTGCAGACAGCGTGCAGCTGCCATTGTCTTCCCTCCCTGCAGGGAGTGGGTGTTAAAGAGCAGCATCCTCATTGCCATGACGGTTTACACATACCTCCGCCTCATTGTCGACCACCACGGCACCGCCCAGCTTCAGGCCCTGCGTCAGAAGGAGGTGGACTTCTGCATCTCGCTGCTCCGGGAACGGGTGAGGACAGGATGGTACGGGGAAGGGAAACCAGGACAGGACACCTCTGTGTGTGGGTTTTATACCGTGACCGGGGCCAGAGATGTCATGTTGGAGTGATGGCGGTAGTTCAAAATCTGCTGTTTTTTTTCGTCATTCTAAGACGGATGAAGGTGAAAGGGTAGGGGAATCAGTGTGGGATGGCCCTAGTTCCTAGAAATGCTGCCTGCTACTCTGGCATCCTAGGGATTTTCCTGGTCAGCTTCGTGGGCACTTGTATACCACAGACACAAGCTGTTCTTGTGTGCTCACTGCTATCCCCCACACCTACCTCGCTGGGTAATTGCCTGATCAGGTGGGATTGTGAATTGCCCACTAGCATATCTCCCAAGATTGAATGATTCTAAGGCTATGCTTTCTAATGTGGTAGCCTCTAGTCTAGCCCATTGGTTCTCAACCTTTTGGCCCTTTAAATACAGCTCCTCATGTTGTGACCCAACCATAAAATTATTTTCGTTGCTACTTCATAACTGTAATGTTGCTACTGTTATGAATCGTAATGTAAATATCTGATATGCAGGATGGTCTTAGGCGACCCCTGTGAAAGGGTAGTTCGACTGCCAAAGGGTCGCGACCCACAGGTTGAGAACCGCTGCTCTAGCCACATGTGGTGATTTAAATTAAAATTAGATAAAAATTTTAAATTGATTCCTTAGTTGAATTAGCCACATTTCAAGTGCTAATTGTGGCTAATGAGGAGTATTTTGGGCAGCACAGATATAGATCATTCCTTTGTTCTGTTGAGCAAGTGAGTTTTGGGGTGAGGTGTGTGGGGCTCAATTTGCCAGTCCTATCCTTTTAGAATTTCAGTCTCTCTTGACCTGGATGGAAACAGTTCTGGGAGGAGAAGGCAAGAGATTAATATGAAAGCCAAAAGGGTTCCAGCAGTTTCTAGTAACCTCTCATCCTTGACATCAGTCCCCAACTTCGAGCTCTCTTCCCCTGAGCAGCTAGGAGCCAGTCCTTCGTTCCAGAGGAAATCATATAATCCCTTCAGCCCTCCTCCATTTCCTCCCTGGAACATGTTGTTCCTTTGCCCCCTCTGCAGCAGGTAAACAATCCATGTTTTTATTCTTTTTCCTATCTGTAACCCCTCACCCCATCAAGTTCATGGAATGTTTGATGATTGGCCGGGACCTCGTAAGACTACTTCAGAATGTTGCCAGGATACCAGAATTTGAACTGCTTTGGAAAGATATTATCCATAACCCCCAGGCCCTGAGTCCTCAGTTCACAGGTGAGTAAGGGCTGGGCATGCTGTCCAGGAGAGGTGGGAGGTCAGTATGTATGTACTGCTTGAATCAAGAGGGCAGAGTTTCGTGTGTAGGAGAGGCTTTGGCAGTCAGACAGAGGAAGCTTGGGACCAAGCAGGCTCTGCCAAGTGCAGCTGGATAAGGGAATGGCAGGGCTACAGGACATAGCCCTGCTCGACAGGCCCCAGCTGTCGTTGCTCCTAAGAAAAGTGAAACAGCACTGGGACCCTGCTCCTCCCCCTCCCGGCAGCTGTTTGGCCCAGGGGGTGAGCTGATGACCCCTTTCCAGCTTCACTGAGTCCAGCGGGGGAGTCAGAGGTCAGCTCGTGAGACTGAGTCAGCAAAGGCGCTGGAATGAGTCCTGTAAGAGAAGGCGCCTCCCAGGAGCAGTATTGTCTCTGAATTCCAAGGATCCAGCTGGTCAAAATCCTCTTGGGGGAGGGAGAGTAGCTCCGTGCGCCTCCTCTGACACGGTCCTTCCCATGTCCCTTCTCCTTCCCGAGTTCCTGCTTGTGGTCTAAACCAGGGGTGGGCAAACTTTTTGACTCGAGGGCCACAATGGGTTCTTAAACTGGACCGGAGGGCTGGAACAAAAGCATGGATGGAGTGTTTGTGTGAACTAATATAAATTCAAAGTAAACATCATTACATCAAAGGGTACGGTCTTTTTTTTTTTTTTTAGTTTTATTCATTTCAAACGGGCCTGATCCGGCCCGCGGGCCGTAGTTTGCCCACGGCTGCTCTAAACTATAACTGTACAGCTTTGCTCCCCGCCCCACCTCTACCACACGTGTGTGTGCATACACACCTGCCATGAAGACAGTCGGTTAGGACCTGGAGAGTCGGGAGCCGCATTAGAGGTGCGCAGGGTGCAGCTCTTACATTGAACATGTATTGAGTGTGCCAGGCACATGTATACAGGGTGTCTCAGAAAATATATACACACTTTGAATGAGTATGAAGTCGCTGTTTATTAACATACAGCTCAGTTTCAAAATTTAAAAGAATCTACAGAAATGAACAATTTTTTTTGTCAACGCCTGTTTTCAAATTGATGACCGTCTGGTCTAGACACTGCTGATAACTTGAAGCAATGGAATCGCAAACATCAAGAATCATTTCATTCGATATTTGTGTGCCTTCAATTCATTGACTGTTGCTGGTTTTGTACTGTAAACTTTATCTTTTATGTATCCCCATAAAAAAGTCTAGTGGAAGCCCTAACCGGTTTGGCTCAGTGGGTAGAGCGTCAGCCTGCGGACTCAAGGGTCCCAGGTTCGATTCCGGTCAAGGGCATGTACCTTGGTTGCGAGCACATCCCCAGTAGGGTGTGTGCAGGAGGCAGCTGATCGATGTTTCTAACTCTCTATCCCTCTCCCTTCCTCTCTGTAAAGAAATCAATAAAATATATTTAAAAAAAAAAAGTTTAGTGACATGGCATGGTAGGATAAATTTTCTTTGTTCAAAGCTTAGTCTGGTTTCACCCATTATTTCAGATCAGTTAAAGCTGAAAAGGAGTGAAATTTAAGTGAGCTATCAGCTGTTAAAGCGTTTACACATTTTTTGGGGGACACCCTATATTAACTCATTTAATCTTTAGGACATCCGGTAAGATGGATGTTCTACTTTCCATATTTACGGATAAAGAAAGTTAGATTCAAGGAGATAAAGTAATTTGCTCAAGGCCACACAGCTAGTAAGTGTCAGAGGCAGGATCGGGATCCAAGTCTGTCTGACTCAGGCTCATGCTTATGCCACACCACCACACTGATCCCGGGGCCCAGTGATGGGACCGTCAAGAGCAGGAGGAGAGGCGAGGGTTTCCCGTATTCCCCCCTAACCATCCACATGATGCCAACTGGAATAATGTGAGTAGCGGGCTCTGGGTGGCCAGTAGAAGAGAATGAATATGTCTGGGTTGTGGGGATGGTGGTTCACTGGAGCGGAATATACAGATGCTGGTTAGAACCCCCACTTGCACCTGTGCTCTGGTCTTATCTTAGAATTTCCCCGTGAGTAAGACCATTGGCCAGCAGTCCTTGGTCCAGGTTCCCCACCTGCCTTCCATTCTAGTCCTCAAGCTTCTCGTTTTTCTCTTCCCTTCTACGCTTGGTTCAGGTATCCTGCAGCTTCTTCAGTCAAGGACATCCCGAAAATTCCTAGCCTGCCGTCTAACCCCAGACATGGAGACGAAGCTGCTCTTCATGACCTCCCGGGTAAGCTCGCCTACTGCAGCAGGAGACGGGGCAGACACTAGCGAGGCTCCTTCCTCCAGCCTGCCGGTCTGTCACTGACCAGTGGAACGTGGTCAAGTGGGTGCCCCTGATCTGCCTGGCACTGGGCCTGGCACTAAGAACTGGGATACATGCTGAATAAGAGAGACAATTCCAGCTCGTGTCTATCTGAAGTGTCATTAAACTAATCATTGTAAACAAATAATGTAACTGAATAGTGTGAAATGTGCTATAAAAGGGAAAAGTGAGGATGTTCGTTCGGGAAAACCCACTGTTCCTCTGGGTGAACCACGAGCTCTCAGGAAGAGAGCCCTGGTCTTTTGGTTTCCAAACATGGCTGACTTATGGCAGAATTGCTTGAGGAGCATCTGAAAAATACATCTTCCAGGAACCCACCCTCCCAGAGAATCTGAAGAATCTGTATTTCTAACAGAATCTCCAGACAGCCGCTCCTCTGCAGCCAGCCTGGTGTCAGGGAGCAACTGCGCAGCCAGCGCTCAGCTTGCCGGGTCATCTGGGAGAGCCGTCTTGATCTGTGCTGTCCCCTGTGGTAGCCACTAGCCATGTGCTGCGATTTAAATAGTTAAAACTAAGTAAAATTAACCCTTCAGGACCTTGGTTGCAGGAGCTACATTTTAAGTGTTCAATAACTACCACCATTGCAGACAGTTCTGTTGGACAATGTTGGTCTAGATGTTGGTTTTTTTTTCCCCCCCTTTAACCCTTCTACTCTCTGTTTTGGTTGAATTTGGGAAATAGAAGAGGAAAACCAGGTCTTTCTTCTTAATTAGTGTTGCTGTTCATAACCTGTTTGGGGGAAGGACTTAACTGCAAGAAGGTTTGGAGGTTGTATGTACCTTGGATAATTACCCTGTTAAGTCCTTTAGTGTCAGCTTTTAGTCAGTGCCGAGCAGTGCAGAGGCTCAGCTCTGGTTCTGAAGGGGCATTGCTTCCTGTTCACAAGTAACTCAAGAAAATAAAAGATTATACTTATGAAAAAAAAAAAAAAGATTATGCTATGACTGCAGAATCAGGAACCAGTACAGGAGGAGGAGCCAAAATCGGGCGGTAGTTGCAGGTAATGTGACATCAGGTCAGTGGCAAGAACGAATGCACCACTGGTCTGTGACTTTCAGCATTTTTTTTTTTTTTAATCAAGGAGGGGAGACTTGAGAGACAGTATTAGTTGATTAATAAATTGTGGGAAGAAATTGAGGTCTGGCTCCAGCCTAGAGTTGAATGGTGCTCATTTTCCTCTGCCCAGAGACCTCACCTTCCCTTCCACGTTTCTTTTCCAATGTCCTGCCACCAGGTGCGGTTTGGTCAACAAAAGCGATACCAGGATTGGTTCCAGCGCCAGTACCTGTCAACCCCCGACAGTCAGTCTCTGCGCTGTGACCTCATTCGCTACATCTGTGGGGTTGTCCACCCTTCTAATGAAGTGCTGAGTTCAGACATCCTGCCCCGGTGGGCCATCATTGGTTGGCTGCTGACAACATGCACGGTGAGAGGCTGGACCATGGAGGCTGTTGGGTGGCAAAGAGTCCCCCCTCCCTCACGTTCCCCATATATCCATGCTTCTTCCTGACTCTCCGAGCCCCCTGACCCCTAAGGGCCCTCGTTTGCTCTCATGAATGTCTCAGTCTTGGCACCCCCTCCCTTCATGTCCCGAGAAATTTCCTTGCGCTCATTATTTCCCATCTGGGCTTGGGGTTAAACAGGTTCACCTGTGCCTTTAGTGCCAGTCCCCAGGCCTGGGTTTCTAGGCATTGCTTCTTCCAGAAACCACGGATGACTGTTCTTGCTCAGATCCCGAGCTGTGATCCTCACACACTCACTTCCATGCCTTTGGCATCAGCTTTGGATACTTCTCTTCTCCAGAAGTAGTGAATTCGCAATGGAGCCATCTCCTCCCCAGCATTTCCCTCCCATGCCAAGGGTGGGAAACCCTCTGCTCCCTGGCGTCTAGTTGCCCTCTGACCTCTTCTGACAGGGCTCCTGCTCCCCCATCTGACTGTATCCTTGGAATGTGCTGATTCAGATATAACAGCAGGCTATTCCTAGGGTCTTTCCCTTAGGAATGTGCCTGGTGTGTCCAGCAAGGGCTCAGACTCGTGCTGTCTCAGCTCACGAGTGACCAGGGACTCCCAGCCCAGGTGTCTTCCCTTATGGGGTCAGGGGTGTGCTTCTGGGTATGTGAGACCCCACACTGAGCCTCAGCCCTGGTTGCTGAGACCGTAAGGGACTCACTCACACTCATATACAGACTTGGTGTCCCTCACCCCCGTGGGGGTTCCATTCTGTCTCACTAGGAACTGAATTTTCCTAGATGGGTCAGTATTGTGAGCCCTGGAATCTGTCTTGGGCTCCTAAAGGGAAGGGAGCTGGTTGATGAAACTAGCCCTCCTTTTCCCCTCTCTCTTCTAGTCAAATGTCGCTGCCTCTAACGCCAAGCTGGCTTTGTTTTACGACTGGCTGTTCTTTAGCCCAGACAAGGACAGCATTATGAACATAGGTATGTGAATGAGACCCAGCAGCCTCACCTCCCCCCCTCCCCCAGCCCCGGGCCTCAGTGACAGCAGTCATCAGTCAGGGCGAGTGGCGTGGAGGCAGCTTATCTGGGAGCAGTTCCGTTGTTCCTCATCAGTGCTCCCTTGACCTAGAAGAGAAGTTGCTTTGATGAGGCCAGGCAGTACTCCACCCTCTTTTCCCTGTAGCCTGATGCTTAGACTTCGGGGGGGGGGGGGGGGGGGGGGGTCTCTGCAGAGGAAAGGGCTGCACCACATCCCGCTTTTCCTCTCCTGCTACCTCTTTCCTCCAAGCTGAGTACTGGGGATAAGAGGGGAGATGAGGTCTGCCAGCTGTTTTGGGGGGTTGTGTGCTTTTGGACCTGCTCAGTGGGACTAGGGGGCAGGGATAGCTCTCTGGAACCATTCATATATATTGATCATTCGGTTTATGGAGCTAAGAACAGACCCTCGATATGGGGTCCCTTTAATTCCACGTTCTCCAGAGCCAGCCATCCTGGTCATGCATCACTCCATGAAGCCCCACCCGGCCATCACTGCCACACTCCTGGACTTCATGTGCCGTGTAAGTGCCGTTGCCCCTTTTCTCCTCCTGCCTGGCCGAGCCGCTAAGTGTGTGTCCCCTCCAACCTCCTAGGTCAGTGAATAGGTCCTCCCAGTGCCCCTTGCCTGGGGGAGCAGAAGTGGTTGTAGGTCCCGTCCCCCGAGTTAATGAATTCCCACCGTCTCCAGTTGGGTCTTTCCACGTTTCCATGAGGTTTCCCATCCTCAGGGACGATGACCTAACATAGACTCTAGTCTCCTTGAGGAGCAGCCGGTCCAGTATGGTTCCCACTTTAGCAGCCTGGAACGGCCAGGAGCATCCAGCCCTTTCTGCAGCCATACTCTCAGTGGCCCAGTCAAAACCAGTCCTGTGCTCTCTCAGCAGCACATACACTGCAATTGGAACAATACAGAGATTAGCAGGGTCCTGTGCAAGGATGACCGGGAAATTCCTGAAACAGTCCTTTTTTTTTTTAATTTAAAAAATAATGTATTTCTAAAAATTGATTTGAGAGAGAGAGAGAGAAACGAAACATCTGTGAGAGAAAAACATTGATCGGCTGCCTCCTGCACGCCCCCCCACTGGGGATTGAGCCAGTAACCTGGGCATGTGCCCTGACTGGGAATCGAACTTTGACCTCCTGGTTCATGGATCAATGCTCTACCACTGAACTATACCAGTGGGGGGGCGCTCTCTCTCTCTCTCTCTCTATATATATATATATTTCTTTTTTTTTTTAAAGCAGCCTTTTAGATCCCGTGCTCATGCTCTCCCCTTCTTCCCTTCCAGATCATTCCCAACTTCTACCCACCACTGGAGGGCCACGTGCGGCAGGGTGTTTTCTCCTCCCTCAACCACATTGTGAGAAGCGGGTCTTGCGTAAGGACTCCTGTCTGGGGAGAGGGAGGTTGTTTTCCCATTTTCCCCAGGTCAGGCACATGCAGATATGCCATACGACTGGACCCTTTACCTGAGAGGTACAGGGAGTACTGGCTCCACCTCAGAAGGCTCGGCCTGTGTTCTCTTGACTCTCAGAGAAATGTCTCTCCTGCCGTCACATGACAAAGGGCTTCAGATGCGTCCCCTGTCCCCTGGGGACCCTCCCAGGATCTGACCGTAGCCCAGTTATACTGGTCGGGCTTAGACCTACCCCTGTACCTCCGTGGCGAGTTAGGAGGGAGGAGCCCTGATGTTGATCTTCATTCATGGTCCCTGTTAGGCACTTGGCTCCCCTGTTTGACAACCCTAAACTGGATAAGGAGCTGCGGGCCATGCTGAGGGAGAAGTTTCCTGAGTTCTGCAGTTCACCCAGCCCACCTGTGGAAGGTAGGGACCCTCCCATGTCGTCACCTCTTCAGAAGAGGGATGGAGACATTCAGGGCTCTCAGATGAGAGCCCCTGTTTAGGGGTCACACCTGTGCAGCGCTCTACCTCCGTCATTGTCCATTCATTTTCCCTTCCCTACTTCTCTTCTGATTCCTTTTCATGTCTTCCTAGGTTCTCCCTCTCCGTCTAATTTAAAAAAAATCTTTTCACTGATCTTTAGAGAGAGAGAGAGAGAGAGAAACGTCGATTTGTTGTTCCACTTATATATGCATTCATTGGTTGATTCTTGTGTGTGTCCTGACCGGGGTTTGAACCCACAACCTTGGCATATTGGGACAGTTCTCTGACCAGCGGAGCTGCCGGGCCAGGGTCTTTCCATCTAATTTATCTAACTTGCGCTAATCTCTCTTGCTCTCTTAACTATTTTTCCTCTTATTAACCTGTCTTCAGTAGGCAGAGATGTTCATGGAATGTGTTTACCTTGCTTTAACTTTGTCCACCTTTTTTCTTTTCGGGCCAGGGCCCTGGCCTTGGTGAAAGGTTATGTTGGGTCTCAAGTCTTGCTCCCAATTTTAGACACACAAACACTTTTTGTTTAGGGGGAGGGGTTAAGCCAAGCAAAACTTCCCAATTTGGCTTTAAATTAAAGAGTGCTTAAGACTGTCCTTGGTCTTATCTACTCGCTGATCCTGAGCTGAGCATAGAGGAGTCGTGGCCTGTGCTGTTTTATTCCTGGCAGGTCCCCGTGCAAGTCCTGGAGGGCTGGGAGAATAGACCTTTATCCTCCAGGGTTCATATTCCACTTAGGTCCTGAAATCCTTATTCTCTCCCTTGCCCTTCAGTCTCCTCTTTTCTAAGCGAGGTACGTGTTAGAGGACACAGGGGGCCATCAAATGCCTTGTCTTTCTTTCCCAAGTCAAAATTGAGGAGCCAGTTTCCATGGAGATGGACAACCACATGTCAGACAAGGATGAGAGTTGCTATGACAATGCAGAAGCGGCCTTCAGTGATGATGAGGAGGATCTGAACAGCAAAGGTGAGGCCAGCAGCGAGGGCAGCTCAGGGTGTGCCGGCTCCATTGGTAGGAGAAGCCTGGCCCGGTTTCTCTGTCGCCTTTGCCTCTGAGTGAAGGTTGTTACCGGGCACTGGCTGAGACTCCGGGTGCAGAGCCCTGCACTTGGCCCTGAAGCAGGAGCGGAAAGGAGAAGTGGTCCCCGGCCTTGTTTGCTCCTCAGGGCTCGG